TTATGAAGTCCAGGAACATCAGCTTCCTGATATGCCTTTGTGCCTTTCAAATCATTATTTGCAGAAGCATACGTCGCCTGCTCGCTCTCAGCCAATGGTGTCTCAACAGGCCCTTGAACCAATTCTGGTACACTGTCACTTCCCCCTACGCTTGATTTTCCTCATTTGAATCCATGCTACCTGCAGCTTCATTTCCACACTCAGAATTTGAATTAGTATCTACTGAACGTTTCTTGGACAGTTGTTCCATATCCGCATCAACAGCAAAACTGAAGAATATGTTGTTATGAACATACCTGAAATAAAAAAATACAACATGACAAATTTTATCTCAGTTATAAGGTAGAATGACAAGAACAATAATGCAATGTGGGGGGAAAGTATGCTGTAACAAATGAAATTACTGAACAAAGAACAGAAATAAATGAATTGACAAACTGCTAAGAGATGCCTAAGCCTAAGCATAAGTTCTATCAGATTAAAAACATTTAATTTCCTTTCAGTATTACACATTAAATTTAATCTTGTGTCTGATATGCATACCATTGCAATGCAAATTTACAGTACCTATTAAATTCGGAGCTCAAGAATATAAAACTGTTATTCAAACATAATACATTCTAATCAAAATGAATAATTGGCATTCCAATGGTCACGTACATCCAGATAGACATACTTTGCAAAGAAAAATGATTAACTGTTTTATTACTAGCTAATTATAAGATAATAAGCACTATAAATCTACAGACTGATTTAAGTTCTTCAAAAAAAACTTTATCACAATTAGAAGTTATAAACATTTAGAATTTAATTATAAAGAGGTCATGGTATTATGCACCTTTCTTGAGGAGTTGTATGCGGGAATTCTCGACAAGATTGCAGTTCCTCATTCCAATCTCTTTGCATGCCAATCAACTCACTCCCATAAGAAGGAGTCAATACATCCTCTGCTCTGGCTGGATCACGTTTGTGATCTAACAACAGCACAAACAGAAGAATCAGCTTTTTCAATACAACAAAACTGCTTTTGCAATGCAACGTACTTAAATTTATTGTTTTTATTTTTTAAATTAAAATAAAATATATTCTTACTGCACAAACATCTAGCAAGCATACCCAAAAAGAAAACAGAAAAAAATTTACACTAGATGGAAGGGAAGGGAATATAAGGAAAAACTACTTTCTTTCTACTTCCCTTCATCTGGTAGGAAGAAGTACAAGAGGAAATGAAAATAGGTGCACCTATCATTTCCCTTCAAATCAAGTCCTTATATGGGATATAAAAACAACATTCAACTTGGATTAACAATTTTATTTACAACTTTATCCTATCTTCTCTCTTTTCTTCTATTTTTATCCTCCATACTATACAACTTAAATAACTTTATTCCCTTTCTTTTTTTTTCCTTCCAGCACCTTTTTTTCTTTCCTCTATTTTCCTCCCTACCACACGTAGCGTAAAAGAAAACAGACAAATAGTACCCTCCACGTCAGAGAGTTCAATCTACTTTTTCCTTTTCCAAAGTTAAACACTAAGTATAACTTTAGAAAGTCAAACTTACCAGGAACTGGATATAATTCTAGCCATGAATTTGGTGGAAGCAGAGATTGAACATTTTCAAAAGGATGCGCAAAGGCCTTCCGCTCCATAATCTCATGGAAAGCTGCATTACATGTACACAAAGAGAAACAATTACAGGATAACAGTAAATGGAATAGAAAATTTCAACCCCTAACACCAGGTAAAAGAATGTTTTGACATATTATGTTACCTTTCCCGAATTTGGAGCTAATTTTCTGCAAGAGTCCAACAAGAGTTGTTGCTTCGTAACCAGCTTTGCTTGGTCTGGGATCAAGAATGTTCCCCGTGCTTGAATTGACATAAAATATCTTTGTGGTTCCCGTAATACAGTACTTGTTGCCCTCTAAAGTTTCTACATCCAAATAGATCAAATCCCCTACAAGCCTGTCCCGAACAAAGTTAAAGTATGTTGTTACTCATTTAAGATAAATGCCAAAACTCATTCACCCCCCCCCCCCTCCCCAAAAAAAAAAATCATTCAATATAAAGAAAAGAAATTCAGCATTTTACCTTCGATAGCTTGGCGGAGGATTGAAGGACGAAAAAACAATGCTCTCCACAAATTTGATCTCTTTCGAAGATGAGGACAGTAATTTACCTAATGATTCAGTAACATCCTCCATAAAGCCCAAGCCATCAAGCTCTGGAACATCAATTTTTGCAGCATCTGGATTAAATAAAACAGAAGGTTAAAATCCCAGAGTATACAAAGTGGCAAATGACAGTGACTTAAGGTCCAATTTCAAACCTCCTGAATTGGGAGCTTTACTTTGTGCTTTCTCGTACTGCAATGCAAGTGAAGTTGATAGTGAGGCATGCAGTGTAGACATGGAAAGCAAATCTCTTGTACGGTGAACATGAGCTCTAATAGATCTATCATCATATAGTGCTGCAAAAAATATCAGGTTAGGGCCCACACAGAGACCTTAAAACAATAAAATGGAAAACAATGCAAGTATACCAGCAACCATCTCCAACGAGCAACCGCCAATAGTAATGTCAGATACTTCAGAAATTTCATTATAGTCTTCTAAATGATGAACTGAACCATCCTTAATGTGGAGCAGTGAATCATAGCATGTGAAGAAACAGGGTCTGGAGCATCAAGAAGGAATTGACGTATGTCCATGACAGAATCTCCGGGTTTCAACTGCATATACAAATAGTCAATTCATCATTTAAACCGCATCAGTAATAATGTATCTATGCAAAATGAAAATTCAATTCTGAATTGTAACCCAATGAAAATCAATGTACATAGTGATTTGTATGCACATCCACCCATAGAAAGGACACAATTGCAAACCAAATACATTCGTATAGAGAGAGAAAAGCACAGCTTCCGAATCAAGTCGGTTCACCTGCAGTTCAAGCTTTTCTCCATTTTGTGTTTTAACAGGCACTGGATAAAGATGCAGATCGCCTGCAATAATATTGAGGAAAAGAATGTGAGTCCAGCAACAATCTAAGAAGTATTCAATAAAAGTAAAAACATAAAACACACTTATATTAAGATTTCATATAAACAACAGCAAAAGCAGGTAGTTAAACCTAAACTGAAAAGTCTAGTAGATGCAAAGATGTCAAACGAATCTTCATCTGTCTAATATGGTTCAAGGAAACATAGTTATCAACAACTGCTCAGAATTTTGACAAATGAACATGTGCACACACAGATAAATAACTGAAATCACGGATTAGATAACTGAACATATACATATAGATAAATTATTGAAATATAGATTCTAGATGGAAAAATAATAATAATAATGGATCTCCTTCTTTAAGCACCAATGCTAATAAATCTCTTGAAAAAAGAAAATCAATATAAGATATCAGAGGAAATCATAATAGGCGAATGAAGGTCATCACAGAAAAAGTAATAAATAGCGATCATGCATACAAATTCACCTTGCTTTGGTTGGCTTGATGAATTCAAAGCTTCTTGCTCTGTCAACTCTGACTTGAGACTAGATGATTCAACCATGTTTGCAGCTCCATTAGAGTCAACATTAGGAGGCTTGGAAGCAGTTACATTATCCTTCAAGGGAACATCAGAAGAGACAGCTTGCTCTGACGAAGTTGTTGAACTGTGTGACCCTCTCCGGTTCCTTCCCTTATTAGATTTCCCAGCCATTTGCAGGAACTTGATCTTCAATACCTGATTTATAAGCACATAAAGAGTTCAAATAAGTTCTGTAATAAGTTGGCTGTCACCCAAAAATACGGTCACAATATTATAAGTGCATAACATAGTTCTCTTACGTTTATCAATAATATAAATACATACAAAACAAATGCCGTGAATTCTATTCAAAACTCAGAACAACCTAGGCGGAACGCAGAAGAACAAAAACAAACGCTGTTCCACAGAAACTGAACTAATATGTTATGTGTCTGTATATACGTTAAAAGGAGAAGCTTTACAACAGACAATCCCTGAATGCACCTAATAAGATGCAAACTCGTTATAGACAAACTTGTAATCGGCAAAAACAAGAGTAGAAATTAAACTGAAACATTAGACCATACTGATTTCACCGAACAATGCATTCAACAGAAGCAAGATGCTAAGGAACTGTATCCTACCCAAGCAACAGCTGTATCATATTCTGTTTGGGTTACCTCGGTATTTCAAATAGCAGTAGCCTAGCGCTGTTGTGACCGCTATTTCGCAGTAGCCGCGAATACACCTCCAAAGCAGTGTAAACAAAGCGCGGCCACGAGTAGCAGTGTAACGGGAAATAGCGGCAATCAACGGTCCGCTATTTCCAATAAGCAGATAACTTTAAAAAATATATATCCTTATCAAACAAGTAAACAGAGAAAGTATGGAATGAGACAGAGTAACAAGCAGTAGAACCGAAAACAGAAAATTAAATATAGCATAATGATGGAGAGGCAGAGACCAGATACATCAGATTCTCGTGACTCAAGTAGAAATCAACCTTCAAGTGAAGTTTAGGGTTTCAAAAATTACCTGGCGGGTCGGAAACTTGAAGACAAAGCGAGAAAGGGCTTGAGTGAGTCAAAAGAGAAAGACGAGGCTGGAAGAGAGTGGTGGTGGTGAGTTAACTGGCGGCGGAGGCTGTGAAAGAGAAATGATAGTGTATCAATATTAGAGAAATATGATGTATGGCCCTACCTTCACGTGGAGCAATAAACAACAAGATTCTTACCTTGCGAAGAAGCTTGACAGGGTCCTTGTCAACACTGAGTGGTTCAACTCCTTTCGAAATTCTCATGTGAAATTCCTTGCCCTGGAATTTCTGACCACTGTTTGGCATTGGCTTGGCTCGCTAAAGAGGTTCCTACTAACCATCCAAAGCCATTTAAATTATTTAATTTCTGGACACAACATCCTCAGTTCCTACATGTGGTGAGGCAGTCTTGGCAAAATGACTCATAAGGCAGCCCTATGCAAACTCTGTTCTTCAAACTAAAGCGTCTCAAAGCTAGATTGAAATCTCTTAACCATCACTTTTATAGTGACTTATCAGCCCGAGTTAAGCATAAAAAGGTTGAGTTGGAACATCAACAACTAAAATCTTTAAGAGGAGATGCTACCATATACCAAGAGCTTCAATTACAAAGAGAGCTTCCACTCCTTGAAGAGGCTGAAAATTTGTTTTTAAAACAAAAGGCCAAAGTTCAATGGCTCAAAGAAAGAGACAAATGCACCAAATTTTTCCATTCGGCTATGGCTTCTAAGAACAAGAGGGACACTATTAGAGTCCTTGTTGATGATCATGGAAATAAACTTGAATCTTTCGATGATATGGCTAAAGAAGTGATTAGGTTTTTTACTAAGTTGATTGGGACTGTAGATCCAGGAGTCAAAGAATGTGACCCCAACATTTTAAAACATTTGCTACAATTCTCTTTGCCTACTGATGCTTCCAATGCTCTTGTAAAGAAACTTACAAAGGATGAAATTAAAGAGGTTTTTTTCAGTCAAGGTAATGATAAAGCACCAGGACCAGATGGCTACACTCCCTATTTTTTCAACATTACATGGTCTATTATTGAAAATGATGTGGTGGCTGCTATTACTCAATTCTTCCAGGAATCTTTCATGTTACCTGCTTTCAATGCAACAAGTATTACTCTGGTACCTAAAGTTCCAAATCCAAGCAAAGTGAAGGATTGCATACCTATTTCATGCTGTTCAGTGGTTTATAAAGCTATTTCTAAGATTTTGGTTAAAAGATTGACAAATCTTTTACCAGAAATTATTACCCTTAATCAAACAACATTTGTAAAAGGTCACCCTCCTGGCACAAGAACTTGTAAAGGGCTATGGTAGAAAAACTATTTCCCCACGATGTTCACTGAAAATCGACCTTCATAAAGCTTTTGACTCTCTACACTGGGGCTTTATTTCTACTGTCCTAACTGCTATTGGACTCCCTAGAGCTTTCATTAACTGGATTGCAGCTTGTTTCTCTGTTGCTCGTTATTCCATTTCATTTAATGGAACCTTAATTGGTTACTTCAAAGGTGCAAGAGGTCTCAGACAAGGTGACCCTATTTCACCTCTCTTATTTGTCCTATCCATGAACGTACTCTCTAAATTACTTAACAAGGCTGCTCAAAGAGGATTATTTGGTTATCACCCTCGTTGCAAAAAAATTGAGTTAACTCATCTTAACTTTGCTGATGACTTACTTATTTTCTGCAAAGGAAATGTGGAGTCTGTTGTGGGTGTTATTAGTGTTTTAGAGCAGTTTTATGAAATTTCTGGTCTCAAACTAAATGCTCACAAATGTGAATTATTTGCTGCTGGAATTTCACCAAGTAAATCTGATGAAATAAAAAGATTTATTGGTTTTAACTAAGGTTGCTTGCCAGTTAGATATTTGGGTGTTCCCTTGGTATCGAGGAAGCTTTCAGATAAAGATTGTGTGACTCTTATTGACAACATCAGGGATCGTTTACACAAGTGGTCTAGAAGACATTTGAGCTATGTTGGTAGATTAGAACTTATTAAATCTGTTATGTTGAGCATTACAAATTTATGGTGTAGACAGCTTATTCTGCCACAATCTGTGCTTAGCCGAATTGAGCAGCTATGTTCGCGTTTTTTCTGGAAAGGTTCGGACAAGTCTGCTACTGGTGCGAGAGTAAGCTGGGAAAAGCTTTGCCTCCTTAAATCTGAAGGAGGGCTTGGACTTAAGGACATCAAATCCTGGAATAATGCTTGTATGATGCATTTGATCCGAAATTTACTAGCGAGTGAAGGTTCCTTGTGGATTGCCTGGATCAAAAATTATGCAATCAAGGATTCCGATTTTTGGAATATGAACGATTCTATTAATACTACTTGGAGCTTTCGACGCTTACTTAGAATGAGACTCCAAGCTTTCCATGTGCTAACATCCGGTGTGCAGAAAATTAAGGATATTTGGCTACTGATTCGAAACAAAGGGGCAAAAGTGGCGTGGCGCAAACTGATCTGGTTCCCTCTCCATATTCCTAAGTTTAGTATTATTGCATGGATGGCCTTATTAGACAGACTCCCAACTAAAGACAGACTGAAACGTTTTGGGTTTGATATCGATGACAAATATGTGCTTTGTAATGACTCGATGGAAACTAGAGATCATTTATTCATTCAATGTCCTCTGGCTATTTCTCTATGGGATGCGGTTATCATTCTCAATAGCATGCGAAGGACATCACGTACATGGGGAAATCACTTAGCTTGGGATTGTGATGCTTGGAAAGGTAGATCCTTGCTCACTACAATTTTGAAATTAGCTTGGACAACATTTATTTATACTGTTTGGGAGGAGAGGAACAAGAGGCTATTCCAGGGATGCTCACGGAATTTTGAAGCATTACTCTATGTTGTAAAACACATTGTTGTTATCCAACTAAGGGGTAGAAGTATTAATAGGAATGATAGTGTTAATACTATGATTTGTAATCATTAGGGTATTGAATAGCTAATATTATGTTATGCTGTAAGTAGATATTTGTTTGTATTATTGAACAAGCTGTTTTTATACAGATCTTTGGGTAATAAAATCGAATTATCCAAAAAAATATGATGTATATTTTTGATGGGATAGAATTGAAGTATTTCAATATATATATATATATATATATATTATTTAAGTAAATAGTTATTATATATAATTTTATGATTTTATAAAGAAATTTTAATTATTTATGGTGTGGTTGAAATAAAATATTTAATATAAAAATATTTATTCTAAATTATTATAGATAAAATAATAAATTTTCAAGAATTGATTTTTAATATTTTAAACATTATATAAAATTATAAAAATACTATTAAAAATATTTATTATCATTTAAAAAATCAATATATTTGATACTTTTTCATATCATTGATCTCACAATGATTATGTTAATAATTTGTAAAAATAAATGAAAATAAAAGTAATTCATAATTGTTTTGAATGGGTCACTTACATTAATATTTTTTATTAATCTAGAGTAAATATAAGATAATATTTGTTCAAATATAACTTTCAATCATAACATTGAATGCTCATACTCTTAGTATTCATGGTACTCGAACCTCGGACCTCAAGAAATAACAATAATTTATTTATCACCAAAGACGTTTGATTCATACCAGCTACAGTAATTTTAAATATATTATTTTTAAAGTATAATGAATGTCTTACATATAGAATTCAAAATAAAAACAAAATAAAATGATGTTTGATAAATAAATAAATAAATAAAAATTTAAGAATATGTTTAGAAATGGTCATGTGATTAGATTTAATAGTATGATTTTTATGACATACTATTTTCTTTAAAATAGTATGAGATTATTATAAAATATTATATATTTAAGATCTTTTCTTAATCATTAATGATGCACACATCACATAATCGTAAAAACACAAAAGATAATCAAATTACTGAAAGATCATTGATAAAATCGTAAATCAGAGACGAGCAACGTAAGAAAACTATCAACGAACGTAAACTGTGTATCTAAATTCAATCCAATAGTCCAACACATAGAAAATCAATAGGAATACAAATAAGCATTATCTAATTAGTTGAGACAAATGTTAAATCCAATCCTAAAAAACAATGAACAAAAAAATCGACCAAACAACCGAAAACGTTTTATAGAGACAAAAAAAATATGTTATAAAAATAAAATTATTTAAAAAAATAAAAGAAAAACAATGAATACACGATGATCGTAAAGTCGGGGAAGTGGCACTGAAAATAAACATTAATAAAAGCTTAGAACCGTATTATGAAATTCATGTTATCTAAACTGGGTTTTAGTAACTGATGGATTTCTTGGATTATGTTCTATGTATGTACAGTTAGTGGCGCTAAATGGTCATGAGATGGATCTTTTTCGGCCTAAACGAGGCTTTCCAAAAGGCTATCATCTTTCGTAAGGCTTGAGTTTCTTACTAAAGTAGGCCGAGGCACGTAGTGACTTGCACAACATATTGCTGTGGGTTAAAACGTCTTTAAAAGTAAAGAGGTTAATCTTCTTTTATAATTCAACTGAGTTAATTGCATCATACACCCTCAAATTATAAACTTCATTTAAATTGGTCCTTAAATTTTTTAATATTTCAATTTAATCCACAAACTATAACTCTCATTCTAAATTAATCCTTAATCTTTTGAGTATTTTGATTTCATCCCTAAACTATGACCCTCTTTCTAAATTGGTCCACACTTTTGATTATTCTAATTTTTTTCTCTAAATTCATCCAAATGTGTAATTAGTTTCAACCATAGTTTAACCTAATTTTTTTTGAAACATATAATAATACAAATTGGTCTAAAGATTTTATTAACAAGGGATGTGATTAATATACGTGTATAGTTTGGGATGAAATCAGAATGTTCAAAAAGTTTGGGACCAATTTAGAATGAAGGTAATAGTTTAGGGATAAATTAAAATATTTAAAAGTTTGAGGACTAATTTGATAGTCATAGTTTGGGGATGAAATTATAATATTTAAAAGTTCATAGACCAATTTAAAATGAAAATCATACTTTGAGGACATGTTATGCAATTAACTCTTCAATTATGTATTAAATCATAATCTGAGGAAATTGTTATCGATCTTTATAAGAGTGTAATTGGATCATCCAAAGCTTACAAGTTTAATAAAATTAGAATAACAAAGTTGATCTATTTATCAGAAAAATAAATATGAGAATCGATTACATGTAGAAAAATATTAACACCCGAAAGAGCCCTTTTGATACCTAGTCGGATATGTTATTTTCTTAAGAATAGAAAAATATGAATCCATAAATCAATTTAATCAATGAACCCTTAAATAAAAATAAATTCCATTTATACCTAAAAAAAAGATCGTTAGTATATAAAGACAAAAAAAAAAAAAAATACAAATCAATACTAGATGAATTTAAAGCATGCTTATGAACTCGTTGAGTGGTAGAGTGTGCATTTTCAAATATCGAATATTATTTGATTTGAAATTTTATATTATTAAAATTGCAGCTGAATTCGATCCGAACCCGAATATAAAAATATTGCATGGAAGAAATCTCATCTCTATACTTGAAAGCATAAATAATTTCTTTATATATATATATAGAATCCACTAGTTTTATTAAAAAAATCAGAATTACAACGAAGATTTACAAGCATAACCGTAAAACTAAACATATAATTAAGATATTTTCTTATGATTATTGAACAAGAAACTAACAATTTAAAATCACACAAAGACTATTAAAGGAAAATGGTAAAGAACCTAATCAAAAAGTTCGAATAAAAAATAGATAAAAACATATAGTTACTGAAAATACCAATGACAAATTGCAAATAAGAGTCGAGCGACATGAAAAAACTATCTGCGAATGCAAATTGAGGATCCAAAGCGAGGAAGATCAACATAATAATAAAAAATTATCATCTTGATCAATCGTGGCGGTGTCAAATCCAACCTTGAGAACAAGATAAACAAAAGCAATGACCAAACTGCTGAAACTGTATCAAAAGGAGAAAATTTTGTCATAAGGACAAAATTATTAAAAATTAAAAGAAACAAAGAAAAAGTAAAGTTATAGCTTAAGAAAATAGAAGAAAAAACGGCGACCAACAATTGTATCAATGGCATTGTTTATACATATACTGTTATACGTTATGTGCTTTAATAAAATATGAGTGGCATATTTGATAATTATTTGAATTGTTTTTTTGTTATTCATGAGTGGGATGCTAATATTTCTAACATGGAAATACCACCTTTTAAGAAAATGCTTTGTGAATATTTTGTATTAACTGTACCAAAACCGTCTGCTATACTCAACATAGCAGGAATGTTGATCTGGAACCATGAAAGGAAGGTTGATGCATCTCATCAGCTCATTCTTTAGTTACTTTAATCTGATGTTGGGTTGTGTATTTAAATCTTAGGTCATCTTCACGTTTTGACCAATAGTGCTTCAAAAACGAAAATATTTGTCATGAATTATCTGAAAATCAAATTAAGGTCAAAGGCTGGCCGGTTGGGTTAGTGGGTTATTGGACTAGAGACTATTTAAAATTGTAAAGGTCTATTTTTTTTCTTCAGTTTTTTGGATAATTCGAAAGTAGAATTTAGTGGATCTGTATCCAATTCGATTATTCGATTTTTTTTAATTATTCGATTTTTTTTAGATATTCGATCGGAAATTAAAAAATGAATTGAATATCATAATTTTCAGATCGGATCAGTCTGATCAGATTATCTTGCACAATCCTATTGAGTAGTCTCAGAGGTTTAAGAGAGTGTTCTCCTCCTAAGTTCGAGCGGATGTGTGTGCTTTGTCAATAGTTAATAAAAATTATCAATAGATATTACCTTATAATATTCTTAGATTATTCAAAAAAAATTAAAACATGCTTACTAAAAAACATAAAAAATAACAAAAATAATGAATAAAACAAATAATGTACATATATGTTGATACAAAAATTTAAAAAAAAGACAAAAAAATGAATAACATTTAAAATAAGAGACGAAATTAAACAAAAACTAAAAGCTTTCAATATTTGATTTCACAGGGCATCTTAGACCAATAAATCAAAAGAGTCCATCTTTTATAAAGAGTTTAGGAAAAAGTAATATTGAGAGTTCGTCATAAACTAGTTTATGGTGAAAATTTGGTTTCGAATAAGTTTGAAGGTGGAGAAGTGTGTTTAAAAAACAGAAGTAAAAATGTTATTTTATCCTAATATATATTTTTAATAATATAGAATGATTACAAGTATAATCTGTTCAGAATTTTTTTAATCTATTGATAATGTACATACATCCTACTGACATAGTTACAAACTTAAGATTTATAGGGATAACAACATTCCCTTTTACTACATAAATCACTTGATGAGTTCTACTAAAAGTGCAATATTTTTAAGGTTTTGATTTGCTTAGTCAAATCATGAATTTAAAGAGCCCAACTGTTTTAGTTTTGGAGGTTGAAGTTGGTTTGGGAATCAGATGAAAAGCGGTATGGATAAGCGAGAATGATGGCATGAACTGTGTGATATGTGGTTAGGATAGAGGTACCGAATGGCATGACATGACTTCTATTCATGCATATTTATATACATATTCATATATCTGCTCTGCAAGTGCTAAGTGTCGAACGCAAATTCCTTGTAATTAAGAGGAAACCGAGCATTCCAATTTACAAGGGAGTGAAGATAAGCTTAAATTCGAATATGAAGCTTCATCTTCTTCTAGGGTCCAAGTCCAAGGCAGTGCCTTTGATGGTCTTGGTGTTGGTCCTTACTGGTATGGCGGAACAAGGTCAGTGCACTACTTGTCACAGCACATTCTTGTCGGCGCTGGTGCAGTTAATACCGTGCAGAGCAGCAGTTACTCCCTTTAGCCGCATTCCGCCAAGCGATTCCTGCTGCAATGCGATCAAAGCTCTCGGTCAACCTTGTCTATGTGTTCTTGTTAATGGTCCTCCCATAACTGGTGTGGATAGGAACATGGCACGCCAGCTGCCTCAGAAATGTTCTGCCAACTTCGAACCATGTATTCTTCGATTCCCCCCACCCTCTATACAAATATTATATTTTTTTCCTTATCTCAACAGATTAATTATTAACTTTTTTAATCTTCTTCCCGATGCATGTGCAGGTGATGCAATGAAGTAGATGCATGCCTGACTTTTAAAAATAAAATTGTGCAGAGCTCGCCTTTCCCTGTTCCTAGTATCTGTAGATTGCACAAAATGAAAGATAGCTTAATTAGACGCATATCAAAGTGTATTTCCTTTGGTGACAGATACAGTTCATTGGCACCATTTTATTTTAAATATGCTCGTCTTCGTTCTGTGTGAAACGATGATACAAGCATTTTAGAAATTTATCAGTCTATTTCCCAGGAAACTTATGGGGCTAGCGGCATACAAAATTGTTTCGTTGATTTGTCTGAGCCCCAGCGAGCACAATTATTCAAATTCTTTTACGCACTTTGCGACTCTCGGCACGATCATGTGATCCACCCTTTTTATACAGAGACACTCTCGTGTCCTCTTCAGAGACGGAGATAAAATGTCGAGACTAAAAATTGCAGGTTTCTCTAGACGGAACCGTTAGGGTTCTGGAAGAGCCGTACAATCAACAAGACTAATAATATAATTTAATTACTTCCATTGCACTTGAGTGGAAAAATATAATAGAAGTAATCACCAGAACACTGGAAACAATCACACTTTGCGAAACTGAAATAATTAGCTATTTGGAAACGATGGTAGCCATGCCAAACAATCAGAACATGCGAGATCTCAAGTTGGAAAGAGACTACAAGTCGGGCATTGATATAAAATACATTACAACAGTGTAATTTTGCAGAAAAACCTGAACATCTCTCCATAAATATATATATATATATCAATCAACCAGGGGAATGTGTGTTACAATACAAACCATACACATGATCAGACACATAAAGAAGGGATAACTTTATAAAAATGAGATTGAAAAGACTTGCTAGAAGAGGTGGAAGAAGGAAACTCCTATGGCTATGATGATGCACAGCAACTGAAACTCCTTGATCGAAACCCCTTTGCAAACTAGACATTTCTATGTATCTATCCGAGAATCAAAACTCCAACTTGGTCAATCGCTGGATTTACGATTGACCCTGCGCCTGCTGTCCCTAACTTCCGACTATAGTCTTTGTTGGTTATACTATTTCTATTTCTTATTACAAGGAGCTGGGGTTTCTACTTTCTAGGAAAGTCGAGGCAAAGACGAGATTTTGACAATCGACATTGTGGCGGGCGGGCGGGTCGAGAAATAAACCCAGACGGATTCTTCTCGCTCTCCCAAATTAAGGTTAAATCGGATAAAAGGTTCATCATTTATGCAGCCTTCTATATTTTGAAATATGTATTTTCAGTCACGATGAAAATTCTTTTTTTGGGTAAAGTACATAAATGGTCCCCCGTTTATAGGAGACTACTTTGTTGAGTCCTCCGACTATTAAAAGTTATAAAATGATCCTCTGACTATATGATATTGCTTTGTTGAGTCATTTGACTATTAAAAGTTAAAAAAATGGTCACCCAACTATTCATATATTCCAAACTCATCCTTTTTGATTAAAAAAATTGGCAGTCGTCTGAGTTGGAAGTTGACATATTGGTTGAAATATGATAGTCGTTTGAGATTCCGAGATCAGATTTTAGCATATCTCAGTCAATATATTACCATTCAGCTCAGACTGTCGCCAAATTTTTAACAAAAAGGACGAGTTTGAAATATATGAATAGTCGAGTGAACATTTTGTAACTTTTAATAGTCAAGAGACTCAACAAAGTAACGTCTTATAATTAGAAGACCGTTTTGTAACTTTTAATAGACAGTGGACTCAACAAAGCAACACCCTATAATTGAAGGACCATTTGTGTATTTTACCCTTGGTTTTTTTAGTTAAATAATTCTAAATTATTGATGGTACCAATGTATTTCTTTAAATTTGAGCGAAGAGTTATAATCAATTACTTTGTGGTGTGTTGAACATGATAAAATAATCTATAAAAAATTAACGAGAAGAAAGAAAAGAAGAAAAAGATCCTTCTATCTCTATGCATTGAGAGTTATATATAGACCCTTCGTACGAGTGAGTGTTAATTTTTTGAACATAGATGTCAGTTATAAGATAATGATTGACACTTATAAGTTAACAAAGTGAATTGATCATGCTATCTTATGACAGAATTTGTCATCGTTGTTGATAATTCAGACAATAATCAATCAAAGGTAGGAGAATTGCAGTTATTAATTAAATTAAAGGGTTGTAGTTATTCTATTTTGAAGGATTCTTAAAACTTTGAAGATACTAACAATTGGAGGAAGTATAACTATGTTATTCGTTACTTTTGAGCATATGATGATGCGTTTTCTATTATTGGATAAACATTATATTTTCATGAACAAGAAATGTAGATTAGAAATTCAATATTCATGAACCATTGTAGTTGGAAACATGGAATTGTTTCCATCTGGTCCTAAGCATGTCACCTCCTAAAGAACCATCGGGTCACCAAAAGCAATACAACTAGATGAATAAAAGCAGTAATTACCGACGTCCGTTCGATTTGATTCTTGTCCAGAGACATCTAATAGGCCTAACTTTTCAGTTTAAGCGGTCTGTTATCTGAAAATTTCTCAGCAGTTTGGTCCTCTTCATATCATCATCTGCAGCCACCTGGAGAGGAGGTGCCGCAACTTTGATTTCTGTTTCACACAGAAGGCAAGTTTGCGTAAGAGAAATTTGGTGGTCTTGTGTGAATCAATAGGCTTACATTCCATGGATATTTTGTTAGGAGCAAAAGCAGGTTTGGGAGCTGAAGACCCTTTTACAAATTTGGGGCATTTAGATTCTTCTAAAGCTGCAGCCTTGTAAGGAAAAATCATTAACAGAGAGGGTAGATGGCGCTCCTTTCTCCATTAGAAAGAGCCAGCAACATTTTCTGGATAAGTAAAGGCTCTGAAGCTGAGCTATTAAGATATTTCAGTAGAGGGTCTTAAGGTCTGACTTTATAGTAAGAGAGTAAGTGTACTCTTGCACAAAATTTTCACCCTTTAAATAAACCATAGTAACTTAGAGAAGAGAAGAGAAGAAAGGAGACCCGTGTATGCCGAGGTTTCAGTGGAAGAGGCAGAGTGTGTCGTCGGTTTGATCCGAGCCAGCCTTCATTGCGTTTTCATATATATCGGGAAGGAGAAGAAGCAAGGCCAAGCGGGTTAAAAAAAATGGGTTATCTTGCCATAGTAACTTCGTATAGAGTACTGAAGTTATCCCAGAGAGAAAGAAAGGCCAAAGACCAAGTAGTAAGCAGTCAGTTGTAGCATTTGCTTCAGCATCTCATCTGAACTTAGGAGTAAGAATGAGAGCAATCCCATTTTCACTCCAGTATTCGCAATCCCATCTTCTTTTAAACCCAAGACATATTATCACTTGCCCTCAAATTTACAATCCATTTACGATATCGACATATATAATACGATTTCGCTTCAGTATCTAGTAGATTGGAACTTTACCCTCTAGTTTCTCCCGTTTGACTGCAGGATGCCGGCGGTAGACTCTTCTTTGAAGGTGATCAAAACCAAATATTGGCGGAGGGAGAGGCTCTGGCAGCGGCGAAAAGCTCACGTCCTGGTTCGATCTTGTCGAAGAGATGCATTTTTTATTCTTGAGAGTGGTGAAAGCAAGAGACTTGGCATGCAACAATGCTGGTGGCACTCGTTACCGGTTTGTTGAAATAAAGATAGGAAACTACAAGGGAACCACCTAGTATTTTGAGAGGAGTAAACCAAACCCAGAATGGAACCAAGTGTTCGCCTTCACAAAAGATCGTATTCAGTCCTTATCCGTGGAGATCACCGTGAGAGAAAAGGAGTCCATAAATGACGAGTTTATCAGTAAGATTGTGATTAAACTGTCCGGCATTCCCACTCGAGTTCCACCCGATAGCTCACTAGCCCCGCAGTGGTATAAATTGGAGGACAGATACATGGCAAATGGCAGTTCAGTAGGACAGTTGATGTTGGTTATTTGGTTCGGGACACAAGCTGATGAGGTGTTCCCCGATGCATGGCATTCAGATGTAGCCTCCGTTAGGGGTGACAGCATTATGAATACTCTTTCCAAGGTCTATCTTTCACCTATACGTTGGTATCTTAGAGTCAATATAATTGAAGCACAGGATTTGGCTCTTCCCAGTGACAAGAACAGGATCACTGAGGTTTATCTCAAAGCAACTCTTGGGAATGTGGAGGACTAAAGTTTCGGTTGACAAGTCTTTGAACCCGAGTTGAAAAGAAGATTTAATGTTTGTTGCAGCAGAGCCCTTCTATGATCCTTTGATTTTGACCGTGCTAGAAAAAATGACGACGAGGAAATTAGCCTCGGAAGCTGTGTGATTCATCTATCCGAGGTCTACATAAGGAGGCGGCCTGAACCGGTGGGAGAAAAATGGTACAATCTTGAAAACGTTGGCGTGGAGTTGGAGGAGCTAAAGTTTTCTAGTAAGCTTAACATGAGAATATCATTTGATGGTGGCTATCATGTTTTTGATGAATCCGTTGACTGCAGTAGTGATTACAGAGCGACGTATAAAGGGTTGTGGCCACCAGCAATTGGGGTGTTGGAGTTGGGGATTATAAGTGCCAGTGGTTTGGTTCCAATGAAGTCAAGGGATGGTAAAGAACCTACTGATGCTTATTGTGTGGCCAAATTTGTGCCAAAATGGGTACGGACAAAACAGCAGTCGACAATTTTTCTCCAAAATGGAATGAACAATACACTTGGGAGGTATACGATCCGTATACTATCCTTCTTATCGGAATTTTCGATAACTGTCACCTCCACGGAGAGAAGGGTCCAACTCCAAATGATCCGAGTATCGGGAAGCTAAGAATCCGTTTGTCCACCCCGTCAACTAATCGAATTTATGCCTATTCTTATCCTCTCATAGTACTCCAACCAAGTGGTGTGAAAAAAATGGGTGAAATTCAGTTGGCTCTGAGATTTACATGCCCTTCTCATACGAGTTTACTACGTATGCACGACCTTTGTTTCCCAAGATGCACTACATTCACTCGTTGTCGGCACATCAGCTCGATAGTTTAAGGCAGCAAGCCGTTGGCATTGTGTCCCAAAGGTTGAGCCATGCCGACCCACCGTTAAGGAAAGAGGTCGTAGAGTGCATGTTGGATGCCGGTCACCAACTATGGAGTCCCCAAAGGGCCAAGGCTAACATTCAAAGACTAATGGAGGCAAGGAAATGGTTTGATAAGATAAAGAAGTGGAACAATCCTATTGTAAATGTTTTAGTCATAGTATTGTATTCAACCATAGTGTTTAATCCAAATTTGGTACTGCCAACGTTGCTGACCTTCTGCTTTCTAATCGGGATTTGGCAATACGGGAAGCGGCCACGGGATCCGACGCACATCGAGATCAAACTATCACTGGCTGATTCAGCGAATGCCGACGAGTGGGACAAAGAATTCAACACTTTACCGTCTTCGAAACAGGGCGACGTACTGAGAATGAGGTACGATCGAATGCGAAGCATGGCAGGGAAGGTCATGGTTAGGGTCGGGGAGTTGGCAACGCAAGGGGAGAGGTTGACTGCTGTGTGGAGGTGGCAGGAAAGGGGAGAGGTTGACTGCTGTTTTGAGCGGAATCGTTCCTCCGAGGTGCATACTTGTTTTGGTGGGGTTATTTGTGATGAGACCTCCAAGATTCGGCATTGATATTCCCCGCGCATCCCACAACGTCTTCACGAGGTTGCGCACCAAAACGGATTGCATGTTATGATGTGAATTATTGGAAAAGATAAATTAATAGTAATATATTTCTTTGAAAGTTTATTAGAATTAATAAAAAAAATATCATAATAATTCAACATTTTATAAAAAATCGTTATTTTTTTCAAAATCTAAATTATTATAAATTTATATAGATTTTTATATTTTTATTACTATTAGTGTCGTTATATTCATCTTATGTTTATGTAACTTTAAATTTTGTATTGTACTTTAATTAATCTCGTTTTTACAATGCTTCTATTTTAGCTCTAATGTGATATAATAGAATGAGCTATATGGTAAATATATATATATATATATATATATATATATATATATATATATAATGATTTAGTTAAAATAATTGATTTACATGTTTGACTGACAAATTAATTTATAATTCCATTCCGTAAGTTACAAAGGAAAAAGTTAAATTATTTTTTATTAATTAACTTTAAATGATATAGATTAGTTAATTGCAGTTTCACTAACAAATTCATATAATATTGGTGCCAATTTGCTTTGGAATTTTTTTAACCTTTAAATAATTATAAATTGATGTAATTAAGGGTGTGGTTGAGTATATTCTTTTGAATCTAAAAAATCTAGACCACAGATTATGTACATTTGCTTTTCCTCAGATGTGAAAAATACCTTTTAGGTTAAAAAAATTCATAAGCTCTTAGATTTATTAATAAAGTTTATTAATTTAATAATTAAATTTTAAAATAAGAAAGTAGTTGGTTGAAGTTCAACAACACCAACCTGAATTAATTCAAGTGGTAAGCATTCTGCTTAAATAATATCTCAAGTTCGAGTATTTGTGTATGTAGAAAATCTTTGTTAGGAGATTTATCTACTAAAATTAAATTTACGACACAAATCAAACTAGATTAATCATGATAAAACTTTAAAATCCAAAGAAAAAAAAAGCTCGACAACGAAAATAGTGACAGGGATGTTGATTTGGGTTAAGAGTTACTAATCATGATGGTGATAAATAATTGATCAAATTTTAAATACATTATATATATATTAGTTATTAAACGTATAGAATAAATATTAATTATTATATTAATAGATTTGTCATCATTTTATTATTATTTTTATATTTTAAATAAAATCTATAAATGGTTATTTTTAAAAATTATATGTAATAAATATATTTCTTTAATCAGTTTATAGTTATTAAAATGGTTTCGTCTTTCAGTCCTTTATAGTCTCTGAATTAAAGTCTGTTTATTCACGGCTTTTCAGGGCAAGAAAGGACACTGCAAATTGGTCCCCACAGACGCAGTGGTAGAGGCAAATGGTTTTGTTATTTGACGACACCAATCACTAATGAATGTTAAACCCACCCGAACTCTAACCCGACCCGATGAATTTATTAACATTATTTTATTGCGTACTGTTCTATAGAATCACCCACCCAACCTATCCATCTTTTCATTTTTTTAATTAAAAAAAATCCATCTCTACAGCTTTTTCTTTCTTTTCTTCTAATTTTGCTTTTATGTCTATTACACGTGGCTTCTAATGATTGGATTATGCAAAATGCCACATCACATCGCACACCAATCAATCAATCACTATAACATTTTTTATTCCCATTTTTATATTATTTCGGTTTGGCACACCTGTCTGGTGAATGGATACTTTTTTTTCCCATTAATTATGATAGGCTGAATTTTTTAAATACTGTAGTTAAAAAAATTGTTTAAATAAGATATTTTCGAAATTATTTCGTGAAATATAATGAATGTTACAGTAAATTTGAAGACGTATTAGAGTCCAAGCGATTTATATATAAATTTGGGGGAGACGTATGGAGTGCAATGCGTTTCTCATATTTTTTTACCAATTTCATTCTTATGTAAATGTACAAAGGGTAAATTAAACAATTAATCATTAACTTTATTCTCTCTCCAAATTAATTAAATACAACTGTACTGTTTTGAACAACAATTTCAATTAGAAATTATGTAAGCACGATGTTGATTTTTTTAGTACACAAATTCAATGCTAGAGCTAATGGATCAAATTGGCTTTTATATAACAACTTGAACAATGGTCGATGAGTGATCAAAATAGGAGTAAAATAAAAGTTGAGTGATTAAATTAAAAAAATTAAAAGTATAGTGAGTAAATTTGGAGAGAGTGTAAAGTTGAATGATTATGTAATTTAGCCTAAAAAAATATGGGAGATGCATTGCACTCCATGCGTCTCCCATATTTTTCAAAAGGTAAATTAAACAATTAATCATTTAACTTTACTCTCTCTCCAAATTCACTCATTATACTTTTAATTTTTTCAATTTAATCACTTAACTTGTGACCTAAAGGTTAATTTTTTCACTTTTTCATAAACGTACAAAGGGTAATTTTTTTTGAAGTCCAAACATTGAATTTGTGTACTAAAGAAACCAACATCGTGCTTATATAATTTTTAATTGAAATTGTTGTCCAAAATAGTATCACTATGATAATATCTCGTGTATTTTAAATAAAAATAGTTTTATAATTAAATTAATGTTAAATATATTTGTAATATCAATTTAAATTGAATATTTAGTAGATATAAAGTTTATATATATATTTACACGACTAACATAAAAATATGAATGATTAATTATGTAATTTACCTTTTATATATTTACAGAAAAAAATACGAGAGACGCATTGCACTCTATGAGTCTCCCCACAAAATAATTTAGTGCCCTATTCAAACAAACAAAAAAATTCAGCTGCATTATTTGAGATTAAAAAAATTGAATGAAAATAAAATATACGTCATTTTCAAGAGGGTATATGTTTTGTATATTTTTTTAAAAATTATATTTAAAATTACATAAAAGCCCCAACGTTTTCACCGAATTAAAGACGTATGCCATTACTAATTTAGCATTACTTTAAATTAATTTATTAGCAGTACTAGAATTTTCATAAACACAACCACAATAAATTCATCAAACTTGGATCTCAAACAAACAGACTATCTCAACTAAATCATAAACCACAATACCTTTTCATCGCTAAATTAATAATAAAATTGAGATTTGAAACAAAGTGAAGATGAAATATGAAATACTATAGATTTGATCCAACATGAAGAATCAGAGAAATTATCTTCTTCGTCCCCAGTTCTCAGTTCTTGTCAAGATTTCAACCGACTCTTTTCTCCCTCCGTGGAACTTTTTTCCCTTTGTTGAGATCAAGCATAGATCTCCAAGTTTCAGGTCGAAAAATGATTACAATAGTTTATTTAATTGAATTTAATTTAAGATCCGATTGGTAAAACTCAAACTCTGATAATCTTGGCTGCTTTAACCACAGGATTTTCTCTTGCGATGGCCTCGCGACCCGCTGCCTTGTAGTCGTAACTGCAATCGTGTCGATCCGAGTACCGATGATCAGAACAGAAAAGCTCCCCGCATCGACACCTGAATCCGGTCAACCCGACGCGTTTTCTGCAACCGGAACATCGATTCACTGATTTCTTTTCCTCGGAATCGCTTCCTGATCTATTCGATGCGGCCATCGCTCTATTCGTCGTCGTCTTTGAAGTTGCAGCTGTTGTAGGCGGAGCAGAATCGGATCGGCTGTCCTGTGAACAAGACGGTGTAGATCTCGAGGATTTATCGTCGGGGAAATTGAGACTTGAGACTCCAGAGGCACTCGCATCACCGGCGGTGGAAGAGGAAGAGGAGGATGTAGCGGCGGTAAAACATTTCTGGCACATATTATTAGTGGCTGGATTGGCCGAAACACCGCAGTTGTTAACGCAAAGCGTTAAGGTTTCGGGGACTTTGAATTCGGTCTCTTCGTTTTCGGTTCTTTGAGCCATATCTCCTGTGTGTGTTTTGATTCCGAAAGAGGAACTAAAACAAGGAATCGAGGAGGAGAGAAAGATTTGTGTTGGGGATTGAATGGAGATTAGCGAGAGAAGAATTTAGGGGGAGAGGGGATTTGAAGGGATGGAGAGAGGTCAGGTCGGTCAGTAATGGCAACGGAATATGGGCCTCATTGAGACGCGTATGAAACCAACTTTTTCATCTTATGCCATCTCTATTTTACAAAACTAACCTCCCCGCTCCAACTTGCTTCCTCTATCTTCTTCTCTGACGTGTTCTATCGGAATGCGCTACTTTAGCTTATTTTATTTTCCTCAGACCGCGTTTTCAATTACATCCGTAAAAATGATATCCTTAATTTAATACGTAAATTTAAGTCTTCCAACGATTAATTCAATTTGATTTTTTAGTTGCTCTCAGTTTTAAGGATTCATCTTAATTAATTTGAATTGACCCACATAATATACCTAATTTTGGTAATTGAGTCTCCCAACAGAAATTTTCTACATAAACAGACTCAAACTTAAAATTTTTCCTAAACGACATCAAGTTGCTTACTACTTGAACCAACTATTGTTGGTATTAATTTATTTTTAACTATTAATTAAATTGACATTTTTTTCAATTTATTAATCAAACTGAATAAAGTTATATTAATTTAAATTTAATAAAAATATTTTTTTATTTAAGTTAAAATTTGATTGGACTTTGAAAGTTTAACGAGTTTATTATGCTAAAAAATAATTGTGCTTTATTTTTTATGAGTTTGATTCTAATATATATAATATGAATAATATTTAATATTTCTGGTTAATTCGATTATTTAATCAATTTCGTATCAAATTAATTAATAATCAAACTTTAATAATAATTTAATTGTTAACCAAACTAATATAAAATTAATAGACTGCTTAATTGAACTACACACCTAGATAATATAAAGTTATAATATAAATTTTGAATCGGTCAATTAATTCAATTAAAATAAAAAATGAACACTCCTAAATAAACTACACTCACCGTCCACTGTACAGAGGTTCTAATCTAATCATTAATTTTTTATTATATTAATTAAAAATTTAATTATTTAAAAATTATTTATGAATAATAGAAAATGCTGTAATAGTTAAAAAATCGATATAATTATATATATGATTTTTATTATTTATATATTCTATTATTTCGGTATAAATTAATTTTGTAATCCGAAAATTATCAATTGTGGGGCATGTCATGACATTGTTGGTTGGAGTTGGAGAGATACAATTTAATTGTGGGGACTGGGGAAGAGGAGGGTGTAATGGGAAAAACGAGGAGAAAAGTGGCAGGCCACAGGCCAGAGGGTGACAAACATTTTCTTGTTATTCTAAATTGTAAATTGTGGGCTTTTTTTTATTAAGATTAACCGCCCAAATCTGCAGAGCCCCCACATTGTCCTTTTCCATGGCCTCGCTTTCTCTCTTCCTTCTTCTTGCTTTCGGCTTATACGTCTAGACGCATCTCTATGTGTATACACGTATGTTTCTTAATGTGTTTTTTTTCTTCTATGCCTTATTTATTAGGGCAAACCACGGTCATTAGACTTTTAATATGCTTTTATTTTAGTCTTCAAAATTTTAAATTTTGAATTATAATCATTTAATTCGTTTTTATTACGCTTATTGATGCTAAAAAAGGAAGTTCGGTGTTAAAATCAATATTTTCTTTCAATTTCCCTATAAAACTTAAGATTCTAAAATTTGTCTTCTTTTCAAATTAGCAGTCATCGTTCCTTTCATTGTCTTCTCAATTGTCGTTTGGTGATTTCTCTTTTCAAAATGATCACCAAACTTTTCTTTTATTGTTTTTCTACTACTACTTCTACTTCTGTCTCTCGGTACGAACTCGTTAGAAAAACTTATGATCACCTCAAATCCTAATTCAAACTAAAAGTTAAAACTTTTTTATTTGTCGTGATCAACTGTCAAATCAACTTGAAATCAAATAAAACCTTCTCACTATTAGGATTAACCAAAGATTGTTTCGTTAATTAAAAAACTCATCAAGATCGAGATGGATAATTTTCCTTCTCTTATTTTTTCTTTCCCTCTTTGCTTGTTCTTCTTGTTGTTTATAATCTATTGTTATTGGCAATTGTAACTGTGAATGGTGGTCGAATGAAATTGATGATGGTGGCTTGGATTTTGATTTGTTTAGACATTAATAGTAAAGGGGTTTCGATTGTGTTCGATAGTTGGATGAAATGATGGTGATGAATGATTTGACGATCATGGGGGAGATAGTGAAACTTTTGAGTGTAGTAGATGTGTTTAGTGGTGCCAATGATCAAAATAATATTAAATGTGATGGCATAAGTGATCTAAGTGACATCAACCAATTTGGAAGCTTAAGGATTTTTAGGAATTTTTAACGTGACACATCATCTTTTCTTAACGACAGCTAACAACAATAATCGTAATAAAAGCGAATTAAACATACAATGACTATCGTGCAAGTCTTAAAATTTTGTTAACCAAAGCGAAAACACTCTAAAAGTTCAATAACTATAGGTGAAGTTTATCCAATTTATTATTTAGATATTTACTGTCCATCATTTTATGCCAATAATAAAATTTCTTAATTTAATTAACATCACTAATCAAATCATAATTATGTCAAACTCATAAGACGATATAAATACAAAATAAATTCATTATAGTAATTTTATGGAGTAATAAAAAGTCATCAGTAAGCAATTAAATGAACGGGAGACAATTAAAAGCGATATTTCTATCAACAACTAGTTGATTTAGTAAAACAATACATTAAATTCCTTAAGTAAGATTAAAAGTTTGAATCATAACATTTGTGAATAGAATAAATTGAATCGAGAAGATCGCCCTCGCCTATTCGGTTATGACTTATGAGATTCCACATTCACTGATATAAAACTCCAGGGACTCTACATATTATTCCTTATGGAAATGTTTTAGAGTGGATGTCGTTGTCATAAACTTCTTTATTCCTTTTGTCCATATCTATTCAATACCTTTTCTTCTCTGATATGGATTGCAAAGGGCTACTTTCTTAAGAATAATTTTGTGTCAGCTTCATTAGTTTATAACATCGATTTGATGCTATGCAAATATCGTTCCTCATCGTTTTGGTTACAGTTTTCTGATCCATGGACGAACTCTTTTGGCAGATTACGGTACCTTCTCAGACGACCATTCATGTCTTTAGTCTGGTGCTTTGGTGTGCTTTGCAAGATGCAATCGGAACTTCGTGTCCAACTATTTTGGCCGAAGGACCATTATTGAAGTGCCTTCCATTCATAACCTTTTGGAGATTCATAATTGCCAGATCATCCTCGGAGAACTCGGTCCGGTGCAAGAGTGCCAAATCTAATGACAGTGGTGATTAAAGCTATGGCAGAAGATGCTGGAAGTGTGTTTGACATGCTAGGCCCTGGAATGAACGTATTTCAACACCTGTGACAAGCAGTATGAAGAATATGGAGACGCATTTTATCTTAACCAGCCTCTGAAAAAAAAAACGCAATCAGCATACTATCAAAGAGATTATGATGGACTACTTGCTGGTAACATAACAGCATTAGAAAGTGAGACTAGTGGGTTGTCTGTCTTCTATTTATCCGTCTGGCAATGAAGGGTATGATGATGTTAACGTTGTTTGCCCACGGAATTATGAACGTGTCCCCGACTGGTACATCAAGCGGAAACAAGGGTGATAAACCAGTTACGGTACAATCTTAAACAGGTCAGCTTATATGGAGTTCATGTTTCGGTAAAATCACCAACATGAAAAATTTGGATCCAAAAAATATGAACCATTCATTCTGAATTGAATGCAGCCGGCATCGCAAAACATTAAAACAGTTGGTCGGTTGCATTTAGATGAGTATAGTAAACTGTCATCCCCAAATTTCAAATGAAATCAATAAGGATGGATGGATGAGGCAGCCACCCCACTTCAAATTATCATATATCTTAGATAATTTCTTTATATTTTGTATTGATAATATATTTCCGTCCACTGAAATTTCATAAATTCGCTCCTTTCATTCATGTTAACAAGGTAATAAGGAATTCAAAGCATTCTAGTTCTTTTTGAAAGGAAGTAGTATGATTGATAGATATAAGGAAATCATACATGGTAAAACATTTACATGAACCTCATAAAAAAAACCTCACTAAACCTAGTCGGAGGAAAAAGAGTGTTATTCAAGGCCTTCTAGTTATTCAAGTATATGATAACAACATTATTATTAGCAGATGTAATAGGAGATATTTTGGTCTCATGTATGTTCTGTTGCTAACCAACAGAGCAATCATCCTATTCCTAAACAATTCATAACTCATTTAATAGAAACAGAAACAGGAAACTCAAATCTGAAAACTTTCAAAACGTCACTTAGACAACACATTGAACATCAACCCGATTGACGCCCCCGCAATGCACAAGAAAGACACAACACGGAACCGAACAAACAAGACATTCAAGCTCTTAGCAACCTGAAGAGTAAGGGTCAGGATCTGCAGCCTACCTCGCTCCTCCATCGTCTTGAAGAAGTACATAGGCTTCACCGATTGCCGCAACATAAACGCCAGTGTAATAGGGAACCCAAATGCCATCACACTTTGAACGGTAACCTCATTCAATGGATGTGCCCCAGAACCATGAGCATAGGATATCCAAGCTCCAAGACCGAGGTGGAGCAAACCCAGAAGAGCCACCGCTTTGCTAAGTCCATATATGTTCTTCGTCATTGCTTCAAGAACCTCTCGCGTCTCATTAGCCAATGCTGATAAATCACGTTCCACGGTCGGTCCCTCGATTTCTTGGTGCTTGAAATCAGGGTTTTGACTCGGGTGGGATTCACGGCTACTGTTGCCTGATTCCTCATTGTCAGCTCTTGGGGTAGGGGTAGAAGAAGTTGTTGAATGATATCTGGGACTTATACTAGCATATGATGCTCTTCTGATGAAATCCAAATTCAAATCCGCCTTCAAGGATTTAGGACCCAGTTGTGTATCTAGGGTTCGTTCGACTGAAAAACAATAGCTTGATGAGAATGATATACTAGAATAGAGACGAGAAGTGATTTGGTTTGGGGTTGAGACAGGGGGAAAGGGATGGGATTGGGGATTAGGGTTTAAGGGAGGGGATATGAAAGAAGAAGAAGAAGAAGAAGAGGAATTGCAGCGGATGGGAAGTTTCGAGATTAAAATACGACTACGAGAGATCATTGTTGCAATTCAAAATTACAAGTGATTGGAGCAGGGACTGAGGACTCGAAGAGAAGAGAAGGGGGACTCGCATTTGCAGTCGCAGTATCTCTAGCTCCAGGCAAATGCAGTTGGTAGGGTTAATCTTAAGCTTAATACATGAATTAGTACCTAAAGTATCACCTATTAAATTATTCAGTCCTTTCTCATTTAGAAAACTCGATAAAATCCTTTCTTTTATATTCTTAACTTCATATTTAATTTACTTTTTTTTTTCAATTTAATTTTAAAAACTGTTTGTTAAGATTTATTGTTTATATTCTATGATAGTTTTGTTTTAGTATTTATTGTATGACATTACTAACATGTTTTGTGCATTAATTTATGTTGTATGACGAAATTAAATTGTGTTTGCATAATTACAATTTTGGTCCTTCATCTTTTTAATTGCAATTCAAAATAAAATTGGTATAAAAACAATAATGATTAACTATTATACTTACAAATTATCATGTTTAACGAGTAAAGGAATGAAACTAAAATAAAATAATAAAATTCGATTTAACTAAGTTAATCATAAAATTAACATTTTAAGTGATTTTTAATGTGTAATGCATGAAATGTTGGGTATTTGACGTCTTTGTGATTTAAAAATTACATGTTAGTTGGTTTTGAATTGGGATAGATTCCCAGTGTGGTTGATGTAGTTTAAACCTTTGATTTAACCGCTTCATCAAGACATGGGCATCACTTTTCAAAGATCCTTCTTTCTCAATCAACTCATCATCTCTACTTCCTTTTTACGATAGAAGTGTGATAAAAGATAGTTACGGGCTGCAGTCTATTTTTCTTGAACCATTGGAGCAGCAGCGGAACATCTTCGCAGCGCATAATCATAGGTGTTTCAGACTCGGTGTCAGCCATGGTTAGAGCCACTTTCCTAATGCGCCCTGCTGATATGGAGAAGATTAAACACTGGATTGTTGGTCGATGCAAGGCAAAAAACACGGTTCAATCTCCACGTTTATCACCCTACAATCTAACGGGCGCTTTTGTGTGGGTATGTTTGATAAAATCCCTTGAAAGAGCTAGCGGAAAGTTAATAGGTAAGAACTCAAGTTGCTTCGGGTTCAATGCGGGTGGTTTAACCCGGTTGGGCTACCCAATTCCGACTACTTATTTCGGTAACTGCATTGGGTTTGCTCGAACTATGGCAACCCAGAGTGAGCTTTGCGGGGAGGATGGGATAATCGTCGCAGCAAATGCGGTGGGAAGCAAAGGTAAGGATTTGGATGAAGCACTTTTGGACGGGGCGGAAAACTGGATATCGGATATAGAGGTGTTTAATGGATCGGGTTCGGAGCCCCATTTGATGATTTCTGGATCACCGAAACTGGATTTGTACGACACTGATTTCGGGTGGGGGAAGTGTAACACCCCCAACCCGTATCCGACCCGGATACGAGTCCGAAGTGTCACATTGACTTTTTAAACATTCATTCGTATAAAATAGTGGGTAATTTAAAACTTTGATAACATTTAATTTATGTCAAAGCGTTTACAACAGATATCAGAGTTCATACCATTTATATCTTTAGACTACATGCCAACTACACTCTGTAAACAGTACATACATTTTCTGATCTGACATTTGGTAAGGAAAACTGATCTGTCTTGCTCCGCATTACTCTTTACTCTTCTCGAAACCTACGCGTGAAACAATCACACGCTAAGTCGAAGACTTAGTGAGGCATAACGACTTATAATGCACTTTAAAACATATATCGATACATGCATGTTCTTTTCTATCATGTTATAGCAATTCCATGCATTCTTCGTATCATATAAAATCATATCAGATTAATTACAGTAAATACATACAGACACATAATTCATCATTAACAGTTTATCATGTAATCACATACTTTTATTGTTAACCTTTTCAATCAAACACTAACACACAACATCATATGGTTCACGTAACACATTTCAAACCACTTATAACCCATCGTATACATATCACATTCAGTATGCTTGTTTAATCACTTTATTAGCCCATGTACACTAGTGAGAACTTAAGGTATGTGAGTACATTGAGGTTGTGCACACATATGCTGTCACCACAGCTCGATCAATGTCCCGAAGGACCAGTCCATAGATTCCGAAGAACCTAGGTAATCAGTCCATATGTCCCGAAGGACATAGGTAAACAGTCCATATGTTCCGAAGAACATAGGTAAACAGTCCATATGTTCCGAAGAACATAGGTAAACAGTCCATATGTTCCGAAGAACATAGGTAACCCTCGACCCTTGGCATGCCAACTATACCCCTAGCTCTCATATCACATAACATGGCATTATCATTTATAACAGTTCACATTACTTATTCATATTCTTTCTCTTATAACCACATATCTTTTCTTTTCAGTCACGTATCACATGTACGTGTAATCATTGATCTCATAACCACATGTTCCTTCTTTCTGTCACATACCACATGTATGTGTAACATATATAATAATCATATGTTGCATGCAATCACATAGATCTTATCTCATAACCACATACTTGTAGTCACATAGCTTCTTTTCATATTCTCATAGGATCACATAGTTCATATCTTATACTTTGTTTTCTCATGTTCACATATATCATGTCATATGGCTCATATCTTTATCATGCAGTCACATAGTTCAGTTTCACATATGTTCATATATATACATTACATAGCACATACTTCTCATAACATTACATTCAAAAGCATGTTAACATATAATCATGCATACATACAATTCATGTCATTCATATACGTAAATCATATATTCATGCATTCTAACAGAGGAAATAGACTTGTCGCAAGTCTTGTTTCCATTTAGCACCATAAACTAATTAATATGCACTCACCTGGCCTCACTAGTCAATTCCAATCTCTTATCTTTCCCCTTGATCGATCTTACTTGCCAAACGTTCCGGAATTCTTATGCGTAGAATCTACATAAATGTACATTTCGAGGTAATCATTAGATACCTACACCTTGTAATTGAATACTAGCAACTTAAACGAACTTATTAAACCAATATTAACATTTTTCTTTAGGGGGAATCGGTTCCCTACCATGGGGGTATCGATTCCCTCAAGACATTCTGGAATTCTGTCGTTTGAAGGGGTATCGGTTCCCCTTGAATGGGTACCGATTCCCCTTGCCCAGAAATCATATTTTCAACCCGAAAATTACTTCATTTCCACTCAAACCCTTCATATCATCCCTTTTCATTCTTAACTCTAGTATACATACTTAAACCAATCTATATTCATTTATTTCATCTTAAACCTCAAAATCCTATCTTCCATATGAGATTCAAAATCATACCAAATTTTCAATGTGTTCTAATTCCAATTCTAACACTCCAAATCTCTTAATTTAACCCTTGACAAGTCAAATTAACTTCAAATTCTACTTATCAATTCCTTTCCAAAATTTCATATAAAAACTCCAAATCTTTAATCTCTCTTAACCTCTCCATCATTGTTTTAAGATGATTTAAGCTTTCCTTAAGCTTAGTTATCATCTAATAATCAAAACCCAACCTTAAAATCAACAATTCATTTACAAACAAAGAACTTACCTTTTGAAGCTAGCCCCACGTGAAGAAGAGAAGGCAAGAAGAAAGCTTCCAGATAGCTCTCTTCCCACGTGTATATAATTCCTTAAATGATCAAATGACCATTTTACCCTTTATTTCCTTTAACAATTACAAAATAACCTCATCATATGCATCTAATAATCATAGAGCTATTTCATTCTTCTATTTTAGTCATCAAATTATGAAACTTACAATTTGATCACTAACCCGGTATTGAGGATGTTACAAATCTCCCCTTCTTATAAGAAAATTCGTCCTCGAATTTTCACTGCACATCTTAATAGGAACATATCTTCTAATGTTCTTATGTTGCTTCCCTGACTTATTCTTTCTTGTCATCATCATAAACTTACTTTTCAATCCCTTAGTTTTTCGACTATCTTTTTCGTTTATACCTTCATCTTCTGTTGTTTATCATATAAGCAAAACCAGTAATACCAATCCATTGTTGTCTTTCTCTCATTCGATTATGCATTTTTCCTTTGATCTTTCTAAAATTCCATATAATGTCACTCATCACGTTGACAATAACATTCATCTCATCACTCTATATCAAAACTGTCCTCTGTACTTCCATATTTATCGTATCTGATTCTTTTAAATCAATCCCTTTCATTTCTTATACTTGTATTTTCCTTCCTGAAGGTTCCATGCAAATACTTATCTCTGTTTCTACATCATAGCTATCTGCTCAGAATATACAATTATATTCAAATTCATATCATAATCAATTAACTCCACTATATCTTTCCTCCAATCTTATAACTCTAGCACCTTTACTCTGACAGCTAGATAATAACTTTGGTTCAGTCTAGGGCACAAGCCCTCTTATACCAATCATATACATTCTTTCCAATCTAAATTATCTTAACATTCGCTTACTCAACTTATCAATTCACCTCTATTCTCATACATCCTGAAATTTCTTTTACTCAAACTCAACATTCTGACTTCCTGTGTCCTATAATCTGATCATCGATATACATATTCTCAAACTCTTCTTATCAATCCTCAGCTTTACTTAAATATACAAATTCTTACTTCCTTTTTCCTTTACTATACCACATTACTATGATCCAAATATGCAACTGTATCCAGATCCATTACGGATTTGGTTCTCATATCCTGACAATATCTTATAATCTTATAATTCCAGTACATTCCCATCGCATATTCTCGTTAGCTAACGCTAACTTTTCCGTCTTAATTGCAAACCCTTATCATATAAACGCTCTTGCTTATACACAATGTTATTCCTTCATTTTGAACTTATAAGCTCTGACTTATACATCTTATACACTTGTCACTGATGCACTTATCCTTAAGTTCTTCTATACGTACTCATCACGTCCTTAGATCTTTTTAACATTCTTATGGTGACACCCGTTCACCATATTCTATCTTATCCACATAATAACTCTATATCGTTTTTCCGATTTCAAACGATGAAAACTTTCTATCATTATTCAGATATGATTTCAGCTTTCTGAAATCAACTTTTGATCTTACTAGGCATTTCCTGAGGTGTACGCTCTTCATCCTGCCTGGCCAGGGCAAGTGAATAGCTATCACAATCAGGAATATCACCTTTCACTTACTTTGAAATTATTACGATCGGATTTCTACTGTATTAAACTATTCTTATTCTATTAGCAAGACAACATACTCCTTATACAATCAGATCAGAAATTTTTCAATCTATGTTGGCATGTACACCTTTTATGACACTTTGGACTTCGGTTTATGCCGAGAATCGGCTAAACCTTGGCTCTGATACCATTAAATGTAACACCCCCAACCCGTATCCGACCCGGATACGAGTCCGAAGTGTCACATTGACTTTTTAAACATTCATTCGTATAAAATAGTGGGTAATTTAAAACTTTGATAACATTTAATTTATGTCAAAGCGTTTACAACAGATATCAGAGTTCATACCATTTATATCTTTAGACTACATGCCAACTACACTCTGTAAACAGTACATACATTTTCTGATCTGACATTTGGTAAGGAAAACTGATCTGTCTTGCTCCGCATTACTCTTTACTCTTCTCGAAACCTACGCGTGAAACAATCACACGCTAAGTCGAAGACTTAGTGAGGCATAACGACTTATAATGCACTTTAAAACATATATCGATACATGCATGTTCTTTTCTATCATGTTATAGCAATTCCATGCATTCTTCGTATCATATAAAATCATATCAGATTAATTACAGTAAATACATACAGACACATAATTCATCATTAACAGTTTATCATGTAATCACATACTTTTATTGTTAACCTTTTCAATCAAACACTATACACACACAATCATATGGTTCACGTAACACATTTCAAACCACTTATAACCCCATCGTATACATATCACATTCAGTATGCTTGTTTAATCACTTTATTAGCCCATGTACACTAGTGAGAACTTAAGGTATGTGAGTACATTGAGGTTGTGCACACATATGCTGTCACCACAGCTCGATCAATGTCCCGAAGGACCAGTCCATAGATTCCGAAGAACCTAGGTAATCAGTCCATATGTCCCGAAGGACATAGGTAAACAGTCCATATGTTCCGAAGAACATAGGTAAACAGTCCATATGTTCCGAAGAACATAGGTAAACAGTCCATATGTTCCGAAGAACATAGGTAACCCTCGACCCTTGGCATGCCAACTATACCCCTAGCTCTCATATCATAACATGGGCATTATCATTTATAACAGTTCACATTACTTATTATATTCTTCTCTTAAACCACATATCTTTTCTTTTCAGTCACGTATCACATGTACGTGTAATCATTGATCTCATAACCACATGTTCCTTCTTTTCTGTTACATACCACATGTATGTGTAACATATCTAATATCATATGTTGCATGCAATCACATAGATCTTATCTCATAACATATACTTGTAGTCACATAGCTTCTTTTCATATTCTCTAGGATCACATAGTTCATTCTTATACTTTGTTTTCTCATGTTCACATATATCATGTCATATGGCTCATATCTTTATCATGCAGTCACATAGTTCAGTTTCACATATGTTTATATATATACATTACATAGCACATACTTCTCATAACATTACATTCAAAAGCATGTTAACACATATAATCATGCATACATACAATTCATGTCATTCATATACGTATAATCATATATTCATGCATTCTAACAGAGGAAATAGACTTGTCGCAAGTCTTGTTTCCATTTAGCACCATAAACTAATTAATATGCACTCACCTTGCCTCACTAGTCAATTCCAATCTCTTATCTTCCCCTTGATCGATCTTACTTGCCAAACGTTCCGGAATTCTTTATGCGTAGAATCTACATAAATGTACATTTCGAGGTAATCATTAGATACCTACACCTTGTAATTGAATACTAGCAACTTAAACGAACTTATTAAACCAATATTAACATTTTTCTTTAGGGGAATCGGTTCCCTACCATGGGGGTATCGATTCCCTCAAGACATTCTGGAATTCTGTCGTTTGAAGGGGTATCGGTTCCCCTTGAATGGGTACCGATTCCCCTTGCCCAGAAATCATATTTTCAACCCGAAAATTACTTCATTTCCACTCAAACCCTTCATATATCATCCCCTTTCATTCTTAACTCTAGTATACATACTTAAACCAATCTATATTCATTTATTTCATCTTAAACCTCAAAATCCTATCTTCCATATGAGATTCAAAAATCATACCAAATTTTCAATGTGTTCTAATTCCAATTCTAACACTCCAAATCTCTTAATTAACCTTGACAAGTCAAATTTAACTTCAAATTCTACTTATCAATTCCTTTCCAAAATTTCATATAAAAACTCCAAATCTTTAATCTCTCTTAACCTCTCCATCATTTGTTTTTAAGATGATTTAAGCTTTCCTTAAGCTTAGTTATCATCTAATAATCAAAACCCAACCTTAAAATCAACAATTCATTTACAAACAAAGAACTTACCTTTTGAAGCTAGCCCCACGTGAAGAAGAGAAGGCAAGAAGAAGAAAGCTTCCAGATAGCTCTCTTCCCACGTGTATATAATTCCTTAAATGATCAAATGACCATTTTACCCTTTATTTCCTTTAACAATTACAAAATAACCTTCATCATATGCATCTAATAATCATAGAGCTATTTCATTCTTCTATTTTAGTCATCAAATTATGAAACTTTACAATTTGATCACTAACCCGGTATTGAGGATGTTACAGGAAGGCAAGGAAAATAGAGGAAATTTCTATTGATAAAGCCAAGGGTAATGCTATTTCTTTCACCCAGAGCAGAGATGTGAAAGGCGGCATCGAGGTGGGATTAACATTGCCCAAGCCTAAAATGGATGCTTTTGCATGTTTTTTCTCCCATGGTATGGATATCCTGTTTGCTTTCTAGGCCATGTCCCATGGAGATTAAATATGTTTCATCATCAACATCAGTGGATTTTAAAAAAGGTAAAATTTATTTTATAGAAGTAGAATAGTTATAGTACAAGGTATTGGGAGCTTGTATGAATTCATACCCAATGTGTACACAATATTCGGCACATTACAAATACGGGATCAAAGCATAGGAACCCTGAATATTTCAACATCCAACACTGCTGCTGCTGCTCCCCTCTTCACTTTTCATCTCTATAGCTCTGCCAAAGAGACTAGACCCAGTATACAGCTCCAAGCGTCCCACTTGATTAAGGGAAGGATGCAGCATCCATTTATTCACATTAATCACCAATGGCTACTACATACATTCCATTCCCATTCCTTGCCTTTAACATATTATATTTATCCATCCATCATTATAACATAAGATTGCACTTTATATTGCATAGCCCCTCACCCCCATGATTCCAAGCTCAGTTTCTCTTATCAACAATTCTGCATTTGTGAAAATTCGATGTTTTACCGACTCGAGACGTACAGTTACAACATAAAGCTACCTCTTGTGTGTCCCCCAAAAAGATTGATTGGCTGATGATACACACCTTTTTGATATGGAGAGCAACAGTAAAAACTGAAGAAATAACTTTTTTCATCCAAGCTGTACATAGGTCCTTGCATTATTTAGATATCCTGCATGCACGGCAAGTATTTTGGAATAAGATCGAAACATCTTGGAGATATATACTGCAATATTGAAGCAAAACTGGAGAATTTGCAATTGCCAATCAAAAGATAGCTGCATAGTCGTCTACCTAAAAAAAAACCAGACTAAAGGAGGAACTCACACTACTAAATGTTGCGAACATTCACCTAATGTGCATAGTCACTAAGAATGTCTGACAACCTGCAAAAACCTTCCATTCGGTAAGCAAGAATGGAAAGAGAAAACTACAAAAAATGAGAGAAGATATTGCTTTAGTTCCACTAGCAAAGTCCGCTAAAAGAAAAGCAATCGTACAAAATAGGAACAGAGAATACCTATTTTTAGTTATAATGGTCTGTTCATCTTCTCCAAGTGATGTAAAGTCGCTTCCTCCAACTGACCATCTCGATATGCATGCTAAAAATACAGAACATCAAATAAAAATGATATAACAGCGAGAAGATAACAATGATGATTTAGGGCTGAAAATGGAACAGACAGTCTTCAATTACATTTGGGTGATATATTGCAAACAAGGACATGCTAAAAGGAAAAATATGCCATTTTTCAAGTGCACCATTTCAATCCAGAACATAAGAAAAGCAGAGAAGCAGTGCACGAGTAATAAAATCCTCAAAAGAACAGTGATTAATCTTCGGGATTTAAACCAAGACAAACCTATAGACATTAATATTCATACATCAAAGACCTCAAACTAATTTAAACCATAAAGAAAAATAATTTAAACTCTAGTAACTTAACAAGATTCCAATCACAATTAACAATGTCTCAAGTCTTAACATGAGAAAATCTGCAATGACCGAGTTAACAAACACCAAGATCAATATTTTCCTGGTTAAAAAGGTGGCATCAAAACACCACCTTTTCAAAATTCCAGCAGAAGAACAGAACAAATAATTTTAGGAACTTGATGAAGAAAATACTCCCCCTCACTCGAGGAGTCGATTGGTTCAAAGCCAAGCTGCATTGATAACAAGGCCTCTCCATATATGTCACAACATCGTTTTCAAAATCTACATTATAAAGAATACTCGTTTTATCTTCTGCAATAAAGGTACCGAAGAAGACATAAAATGTTGTGCTTGTCAAATGTTCTGAGTACAAACAAATTTATTTTCCTAAGCCGGTCTCTTCAATAAAAGTCCAACTGTTAGATTTCATAGTGGAGATTGGACAAAGAACCAGATAAGTCATCATGCAACCATAGCGAAAACATGAGAAAAAGGGTGAGGAATCACCATAAAAAAATAACACAGGATAGGGGAAATGGAGAAGCGGAGAATGATAATACAACTTCACATCTGAACAGATTTGAGTTGATAAGATCCAAAAATGGGCATTTAAGTACTAAGAAAATAAATTTATAGGTTTTGCAGAGAATTGAAGAATGAATAGACAACCATTCACCTTGTAGAAACAACTATTCCCGAAAGGACAGTTCCCATTTCCAAAGTTGAAGTACTTGCAATTTATTGACCTGCAAGGGTGATGAAACAAAAGAACAAGAGATTTACTAAATAGAAAAGCAAAATTACCATACAAATCTACAAATCCTAAGTTCAGCATCTTCTCTTATGTTATGTAGGTATTCAAGCCTGAAATCGGAGAAAATGATTTATGCTCATCACAGCAAAAAAAAAACATTCTGCACTGTAATTTATTTTTTAAAATCCAACAGATTCCACCTTCCTGTAAGTATGCAGTGGAAATTGCATGATCTGATTCACCCCATCATAACATAGAGTTTACAAATCATCCAAACAATCCATCAATTATATATATACATATTTTGACAACGTAAAATCATAATGCATGTGCGGAAATATAAGAAGCATTGAAACCGCAGCGACATTACCTCAATTTTGCCTTGTAGCCATCCACAATTCGCTGTTTCTCTTCCGGACTCCAATGCCAAATGACACTTGGAATGACAAAATATGATAGCTTGCGGCAGATTGGGCAACCCCTCAAGGCAGTATTGACATCCATTCCAGAGGAAGGAGAACTGCTTCGCCAATTTCTAATACAAGTTATGCAGAATGGATGATCACATTCCGAAAGAATTCCAAACTTACGCTCAGCTGTTGTGGGTTTCGAGAGAACACAATCGAGGCAGACACTGCATTCTATTTCTTGACTAAGTTTCAATGCATCAAGGTATTTTTGCTTCTTCTTGCACATTTTTATATGTTCCTCCCTTTCTTCAGATCTAAAAGGATGCAAACAATTCTTTTCACAGGTGGGACACAAGTCTCCATGAATATGAGGACATTTTTCTCCAACGGGGCAATTACCAGCTGCACCAAAAGAACAAATAGACCGCTGAACTGGATTATCGCTCCTAGGCTTAACAGTTTCACCATTACCAGATAGATCCTGAGGCACAGATTCCAAATTCCCTTCTTGTTTCGAGGGAGCAAAGAAAGGTCTACTGGAATCAGGAAACTTGGTAGAAGCAGCTGAAGATACAATCGACCCAATAAATGCGGATTTTGAAGGAAGTAAAGGTACAGAATCAGGTGCTGTCGACGAAGATGAAGCCGATGGATCGGTTTGCGAAGACTTGACATGTTCATATCTGCACCGGCTACCATAAAAGCAGTTTCCTTTCTGATAGTATGTGCATATCTGCAATGACCAAGTAAGAAACGAATCATAGAGTAACCAAAAAGTATATACAATGGGTAAAATGCAAATAATAGTTTAAGGGAAAGGAAGGGGAAGTTCCTACAATATTCGGAGGATGCTTCCAGTGATGAGAAAACTCACAATGGTCCCCTTTGAGGCATGCTCCATGAGCAAAGAACTTGCAAAGAACTCTGGAATCACAAGAAAATCAAAAGTTACAAAACCTGCAGTCTACATCCAGATTTATCCAGACATTATCCGCAAAACAATAGGAACCAGGATTGGAGTATTGGGGAGACAGCCAAATTAGGCAAATAAAATTCAAATGTGAATGAATCTAGGTAATCAAGCAGTTACTTTTGGGGTTTCATTCATACAAGGAAGCTGGGAATAAAAAACATTTTCCAACATTTCATTTAAAATTTGGGTATGTTATCCCAGCAGATAAAGATGAAAATGGAAGGGTGAAAGGGACAGGAAGATGATTAAAATCAAGGGAAAATAAACAGATTAAAACATGATAATCAAGATTAGAACAACACCTTTTAGGCATGGAGAATGGCGATTGATTCAGAGAAAGCTGTGAAATCAAAATGATAAAAAGGGAAGTGGGGGTGAGGGCGGATTTGAAAGATGGCTGGAAGGAAAAGAAAAAAGGACAAAAAATTAAGAAAAAGAGAGGGGATCAGCGACATTGAAGGTGGGTTCTTTCAGACTCTGGGTTTTTGTAACCAACGTCCCATGTCATCAACGTTTTGCACATTGCATTTAAAAATAAGAAAGATAAATAGGTTGTTTTGTTTTTGGCGGTGAGTTGGTTTCCCGTACAAGACATGAGTCAAACTGTCAAAAAAAGGCCGAGGAACATACGCATTCGTTGTGTAATAACGGAAATTTTATACATAGTTATTTAGGAATATTTTTAACAAACACTCTTGAAATGATAATAAATGTTTTTAATATATTTACAAATTTAAAACATAACTAAATTAAATATCTTTCACAATTTCAAATATATTTATAATTTTTTTTCGATCGATAGTACATAAAATAATTATTCAAATGTTATTATTCTATTATTATTATTATTATTAATATTATGCATTATTTATATAAGTATTGATTTTCAGATTATGAATAAATTGGTGAATATATGTTTCTCTATTAATAGAGTAAGTAAATTCGGTGAAGATTCGTAATCGTAAAAGAAAAGCTAAAGTTTTGAAAAGCATATAATTTAAGATAATTCGTGCAACTTTGATTAGGTAAGTGTAGTCTACTTTCAAATCCATGTATCGTATTGTTTGCTTAGGTTTATGTCTATGTAATAAAATTATGCATTGTGTATCGGTTAGAGTAATCAGATGACAGTCCATAGTAAAAAGTAAGTTTTAGTAAACTTTTGTTATTTATCGGTTATGATATGTATTGCTACTAATTCAAATTTATGTTTCACTATTGTAAAAAGTGAGTCGATTGCTCGAATATTGTATTATGGTAGACTTTTACGAATTATCATTTATGATATATGTATTACGGTTACATTAAACTCATTGATTGTAATCCCCTAGACTCTGTCTGAATGTTATGATCAAATCTAGGCGATCACATATCATATTAGAAGTTATTTTCATATTTAAAATAGTGTTGAAATCCATATAACAATATAATATGAAATTAACCATCAAAGAGATTCATACGATAAATATATATAAAATATATATCGGAAAAAGAGTATAAAACATATACAAAACAAAATACCGAAAATAAAAATATATCAAAACAGTAGTAAAAATACGTGTCACCAAAGTATAACAAAAGGGATATATAGGGATATACAGTGGTACAAAAATGAGTGGTCGGTCCTCCTGATGCCAAGTCTGCTAGTTTACTGTATGCTACTATCTGAAAAGGTTGAAAATTTACAAAATGAGCTAAAAAAACCCAGTGTGCTCCTTGAGGTGTATAAAAACATACAGATAAAATACTTTAGTAAAAATCAGTTCATCAAACATGATTTAAAAATATGTTTTAAAAATCAGTCTCAAGATGTCAAAAAACGTAAAGACGAAGGTTTTCAGAAAAAGTCAACGCCGGTCAATGGTCAACGGTAGTCAACGGTTAACGGCGGTTAACGATCAACGGTTAATGCCGATGAGCTCGATTTTGAAACGTCGAAAAATTGATCCTCCGCACCCCTCACAAGCCTGCTGTAACGGAGATAAGGCGGACACCGATGGACTCGGGACGAAACAAGGAACAAAATGGTATGAGAGGTGTCAACGAAACGTCGTTGAAAGTTTATGATTTTTTGGGACTTTTAAACCCAACATTTATAAAAAAAAATGGTATACTTGCACCATAGGTCCTCTAGTTTTTTATACTTTTTGAATTTGAATTTAATTAAAAATTCACTTTGTCCCCAAGTTTAATTAAAATTTCAATTTAATCCCCAAAATTAATTTTAAGAAAAATTTAGGCCCTAAATTGAGGTGTGACATTGATATATTGTTGTCTGAGATGTATTCCAGACTATATTGAGCTAATATTGCACTATTGTAAAAATTGAGTAAAAATCTCAGACATTGTATCATGATAAATTATTGAAATGTCACGAGTGTTGACAACATGATAAGTGGTTATATTGTGACTGCTTATTATTCACTATTATCTTGTCGAATCTCAAATGCAATTGATTCAGTCTTTAAAGAATGTTTAGAATTTATGTATTAAGTTAATCAATTTCGTATAAAATAATTTTAAATTTTTTATAAAATTACATATAAATTATCAAACGAATTTTAAAAATTAAATATTAGAATATGTATTACAGTACAATAAAAAAAATTAATACTTTTAACAAACATGGCATAAATTTAAAAAAGTATGGAGGGACTGTGATTAAGGCATGTTGAAATTGGGAAGCGCTCAGATCCCATGAATCATGGCTTCGCACATAGGGCCTGATCTGGGCAGGCCTCCTCCCACTGACGTACAAAGCCCATAAAACCGAGGAAGGGACCTTCGTTCTTTCCGAAGCCTCTTGCCTACAAAAGGAGAACGAAAATCATTTTCTCTTCCTCTGGCTTTCCCTTTCAACAGCAGAGCGAAGCATAAGGCGGAGTCCTCCAACAATCTTTCTCGCAGTCTACAATCACGCTCTTCTCTAAGGTAAAACATTATCACACTAAATATGTAACAATATATCAGATCTGATGTTCTTTCTTTTGCAGTTTACCTATTATAGTTCCTCACGGCTCTTTTAGATCTATACTGTTTTTCAACCGTTATCTTACTGTTTTAATATCTTCAGTTTTCGTAGATCTATTAACCGGTATAATTGTGTCTGTGTTTGATCTGATCTATCGGCAAACACAATGTTATCTGCAAAATTTAGCCTTGATTCGTTAGTTCTATTGGTATCTACTGCTTTTGAATGTAAATCGTCAGATCTGTATCTAACCCTGAATTAGAGTTTGGTTCGTCAGACCTTTTGCTTTTGTTTATTGTTACTTTGTTCTGAAATGTATATTACTGTTTGTTGTTGCTTTGTGTTGTTTTTAAGCTAAACTCCATCTGACCTTTTAAAATGGATGGTTTCATTCATCTCGGGGTCTGCTTCTTTCTTTTCAGAGTTTAATAGGGAGGCACGAATCATGTAATTATAGTTTGAACTTTTTGGTCCAGTGGTATTTTTGGTCCCTATTAATTTAAATTTAATTAATTTAAGTCTTACTCCTATTTTTAGAAAGGTCAAGTAAATTTGGGCTATTCATTTTTTGTTGAGTGGAAGTTATAATCAATTATGGGCTTAAAGCTTAGTAAAAAGGAATTAAGCTTATGGGCTTAAAGCTTAGTAAAAAAAAAAGGAAATTAAGCTTATGGGCTTAAGTGCCAAAACTCAAGTTAAAAATTCTATTTTTCTCTTCTTGGACGCAACTAAAATGTTGAAAAAGCAGAAAGAAGAAAACAAAAGTTGGAGACTTCAATTAACAGTTTCTTCTCATGACAGGAAGCTAAGAGGAAGCTTTGAAGCCATGCTACTTATTCTCCCTTTATATTTTCTCTGTTTCACTTTCCATTTCCTTTCACGACCCATTTATTTATAGTTTTTTTTTCTTTCTGTTTGTTAAAATTCCTGATTTTTTCTCACCTGACTTGTTATCCAAAATGTTACCACCGTGGACGGATATATATAGAGAGTGGGAGGGGATCTTTCCCCTCCCAAATTTTTTGGTCTAATAGCATTTTAGATACTTATCAGTTTAAACTTAAAACTAAACTTTTGCCCTGTCCAATTTTTCAGATTAAATACCTAACTAATTCCTATTATTTTGTACGTAGGTACATTGCCCCTCCCAATATTTGATCCTTGCTTGGCCCCTGGTTAACACTAGTGTAGAGATCTCTTGTTGACTTGGGTTTCGATCATGAGATGACGAGTCCAAATATCTTGGTTGTGTGAGATACAGATCCAATTTCCTATCCAGGATCATGTTGTGTCAACCAGAGTTCGCATACTTTTTGCCCAGACAGCATCATAGAATCTAGCAAGCTATGAATACCCGTCTACATTATCTTTGTTGTTTCTAACTCTTTGGGATGTTTTTTTAATGGCCTTGTATTTTAGTTGAACATAGGTTTTGTTACCTGTTTATTAGTTGTTTTTGCTTAATTTAATTGTGGTGGTTAAGTTCCTTTCACTGGGCAATTTTTGGTTGTCTTTTTGCTTTATATTTTTTCTCCTAGATAAACTTAAGTTCTTGCTGAGGCTTTTACTCCTGCGAAATGTCCATGTAGCTAACCTTGTTGCGCTGTTTGCTTGTGCTTGCTACAAAAGCATTTTCATTCCGCATGATATTGCTGAGTTATTGTACTTTTCATGGTTATAGAATTTTTGACTCGATGTTTCTGATCTTGTTATCATTTTTCATAATAGGTACATTGTTGATATATTTGCAGATTATTTTGCCAAATTAACAGACATTTCTTCCCCTTTTTTAGTTGCATCATCTTTGTATGGTCATTTACTCGCCAGCTTTCTTTCAGGGAAGTCGGTATGGATCAGGTCCAACACCCAACTGTCATGCAGAAGGCAGCAGGCCAGCTCACTCGTTTTAAAAATCCCCAAGATTTTCAAGGGTATGATGGGTCTTTCTGTAGGCCTGCTCTATACCAAAGGCATGCTGTATACCAGAATTACTCCAATGCTGCACTGCAGTATCCTACTGTCCGAGCTTGTGGAGCTATCAGTGACCTATCTATTGTTCCTTCAACAGCATCTGCTGTTTGTGTTCAAGCCCCTGCAGAAAAAGGGTTTGCCAGCTTTGCTATTGATTTCCTAATGGGTGGTGTTTCTGCTGCTGTGTCTAAGACAGCTGCTGCTCCAATTGAGCGTGTTAAGCTTTTGATTCAGAACCAGGATGAAATGATTAAAAGTGGCAGGCTTTCTGAACCCTACAAGGGTATTGGTGATTGTTTCAAGCGAACGATTCAAGATGAAGGATTTGGCTCTTTGTGGAGAGGAAACACTGCAAATGTTATTCGTTATTTCCCCACTCAGGTTAAGCATAGTCATTAGAACTTTTATTTTTATGTTTAGTTTAATTTGATTGGTCGTGTTTTATGACTACCACTTTGTTCCTTTGGCAACAGCCTTGAACTTTGCTTTCAAGGATTACTTCAAGAGGCTTTCAACTTCAAGAAAGACAAAGATGGTTACTGGAAATGGT